GATCTCTTTTGACCTCTGTTCTGACTTCTGGTTATCCTAATTCTTCACAGGGAAGAGACAGAGTGGGAATACATTTCACCTTTCAAGCTAGATCCAAAGTAAACAGTTTCTCTGGGGGCTTCAGGCTGTATTACCAGAATCCTGCACTGAATTAAAGCCAAATCCCCACCTGGGAAGGTGATGAACTATAATGATGCCTTTCTCTGTGTGTATTCATTCCGTTCAATAAGTTATTATACAGCCAAAAGCTAGTATTCTCGGATCATTTTTGACCAAACAACACTGTTTGGCAGCAAGTATGTTTTTGTTCCAATTTTAAAGCATACATTTTAATTCATGGACCACATCTTAGTTTCTTAAGTATCCACCACGTAACTTAATCATACTATGTCAATTCATCTTTTAATGAGCCCAGAACATGCCAGCACTATGCAGAAAACCCTCAGCAAATATTTGCTGCATAGGAGTGAAATGTAACCAAGTATTTCTTTATCTAATGCCTCCGAGGGAAGAAGGTAAACTCAGTGTTTCCTACCTCTACTTCCAAATCTCGACAGGAAGAATGAGGCTTCACAAGCATCATTTCTAGAACGACAACTCAACAGAGTAGACACATAGGGTAATGTTCAAAGGTTAAACAGAAAAGACTCCTATCTTCCCCCCAGGAGCTTTAGAGTTCTAAACCACATGACAAGCACACATAAAACAAAACGTGTATTTCAAAGAAGGACATTTTATCAAGTTGAAAGACAAAGAAGATCAAACATTTTCTTTAGACTCAAGTTCAAAGCCCAGTTGAGAGGCCTGGGTGGCATTCCAGACTAAAATTCAGAGGTAAAATAGCCTCTTTAAACTTTTCTTTCATCCAACAAAAATAAGTTTCCAGGCTAAAAAAGCTTCAATAACACAAGTCCACTTTCTATCATGCTTGTGTGATAGCATTAAATACAACATTCCTTTTAAGAAATAGAAATATGATTAGCAAAATAAGATAAGTCAGTATCAGCTGTACTATTCAGTCATGGGCAGAGAAAGCACTTGGCATCAAAAACTTAAGGCTTAAAACTATATAAATTATAACAATGACATTTTCTTGGGGGCTCCTTTTACTTACAGACTAAAAACTTAAATTGGGTAAATAGAGGATGCTTTCTACTATATCTGTGTAATAAGGAGGCACAGATACAGTTCCAGATACACCTATCTATCTACATCTCACAAGAGCCACATATTATCTCACAAAAAAAAAAAAAAAAAGGCCATGTTCTCTTAAACAGTACACTCTACAGACTCCTGGGAATTTCCATCCTGAGGGAAATAACTCCATCCCAGGACTTTTGTTCTTGCTACATTTCTATGTTAGCGTATTTTCCCATCATACATCTCAGCCGGGGAAGCTGTACTGGAATGAAATCTTAGTTCTCTTAAGTTCACAGTGGCAGCAGCAACAGTGGCAGCAGCAATGCTGAACCACCAGCTGTTACCTACTGGAACCACTCTGTTCCCAGCCATGTAAGCCACTGACCTGGCTGCCATCAGCTGCCAAATCCAGTGTGCCTCCTCCACTGAGAATTCAGAGAAACTTGGCAGCATAGACAATGCACAGCAAACATAATCTGTTAGTATTGTATGGCCTCGTTTGCTCTCACCAACCTCCATGAGTTGAACGGGGGTTTCATTTTAACAAATGTACTTATGTATGCAAGTTCTTTGTGCTCATAATCATCCCTCGACTATTCTCCTTCCTCTCCCAAACCAGCCTCCAGCTGCCCTGTTTCATTTTCACACATGAACAAAGTACTTTGACTATATTTGCCCTTCTGCCCCACCCACTGCCTCCATCACAGACATATTCTTTTTGTGGAAGTGAATGTTAATTGTTCAGTCTCCAGCGTGGCACATGTGTGCACATGACGTTTGATCCTGTATGTGCTTAGTATATACATATATAGTTTAGCTCTAACACCCCAATACAAGGGAAGACATGTCCTCTATCCTTCTGGGCCTGGCTTACTTCACTTAATATGATTTCCAATTCCTTCCATTTCCTTGAAACTGACATAATTTCATTCTTGTCCTGGCAGAATAATATTCCATTGAGGATATATACCACATTTTCTTCATCATTTCAGTTGTAAAGCACCTGAGCTGTTTCCATGGCTTTGCTACTGTGAATAGCATTGGAATAGACATGGATGTGCAGATGCCCCCATTATATCCTGACATATTCCTTCAGATAAATGCCACAAGCGGTACTGCTGCGTCATACGGTAGCTCTAGTTGTTGGAGAACCTGCATCCAGGTTTCCATTGTGGTTACACTGCTTACAATCCCAGAGTATTGGTATATCCTTTGCCCTGCTTTCTAGCCAACAACTGGTATTGTGTTCTTGATCATGGCTATGCTGACTACTGAGGTGGAAGGCTTTGTCATTTTGGTGTGTATCTCCTTTAGGGTCAAGGATGCTGAGTGTTTCCTCATATATTTTTTGGCCATGGGTATTTCTCCTTTCAAGAAATGTCCATGTAGTTCCTTTGCCTATTAATTTGGTTGGTTTTAAGAGCTTAGATAATTCCTTGTTTATATTTAAACCTCCCATCTGACTTAGTATTCTGATATTTGACAACAGGGATACAGCAAATGCTAGCTGAATTTTTACATCTATAATTAAAATGCTATTTGATAAGTAAGTCAGATGATACAAATTAACAAATTTGGAATAGGATATTTTGTCTTTGCACATAAGCTCTTCATCAGAATTGCCCTGGCCTCTAAGTAAACTGTATTGTGACTCCAATTTCTTACTAAGAAAATCCAGTATGTCTGATTTGTCATCTAGTATGTCTGATTCTATGACATGTGATTAGAGCTTAATATATTACGTTTCATCCTTTGAATTGTTCCCATTAGGCACCTAAGTAATCAGGGTCATTCTGGAAAACACAGGTGTGCATGCTCCATGGTCTATTCGCTTTCTGAAATGGACTGATAGATTCTGCATGAGCAGAAGCTGGAAGGTGACTTGTAAGAGTTGCCCTTGAAAATATCACTACAGCATTCAAGCTGAGTTTTCAAAACCATGAACAAAATTGCAAAGAAGGAAATATATATATATATTTATATTATATATAAACACACACTCCCCAGGCTCTTAAGTGTCAGCAACTGGATTTTGCATAGGGATATTCATTACTATTTTTCATAGCTGGGCCAACCAAATCACCCATCGTTGTGTATGATTATTCAAAGCAGGTCTTGAAACCTGACACCACTGGAGGGCTTTCATCTCTACTAGTCAGCTTAGATCCACTGATCGGATCTGATTAGATCCACTTTCCCAAACGGTCTAGGTGTGGTGGCCTTTACAGGATGGGGATATTTGTCATGTCCATTCACTTATGGTTTCAAGTAGTGGAGCTCAGAGAAAGCTTGAGTGAACTGTCTGCACTCCACTCATATTTCTCCTAGTACTCACCATGTAAATGCAACCTGACCAGCTTCTGGTGAGGAGAATGACTCATCTCTGTCAAGCTTTAAGTTCTCATCTTGCCTGCTGGTCCCTGGAATAAAGACTACAAATACTGAACTTTCTCAAGGAACATAATCCAGCTGAATAGTCTACCCACTAGCGTAACCACTTCCCCCAACTTTTAAATCTTGCTGCACCAAGAAGCCATCCTGGAAATGAATTCATACCACCTCCAGAGACCACAGGATGCCAAACCCTGTGATTCCTATCCTGCAATCCCAGGACTCTCTGGGGGCTGCCATCAAACGCTGCTTGAATCTTCTGATCCTCTTAAAGCACCGATTCATCTCAGGTACACTCCTGCAGCTCTTCACAAAGAATATTGAATTATTTCGTCTAGTTCTTATATGGTGTTTCCTTGGTCTAAAACTCATGAGTTCCTCAACTACTGTTAGTTAAACCCAGTTTTAAGCTTAGACAATAGTGGTCCAGAAATAGAGCAAGTACCAAATGGGGAGTTGCTAGAAACAACCTCTGTATTGTAACCCAGCTCAGAAATGTGGGGAGTACTCACTCTTAGGAATGGAAAGAGTGGCCTATGGCCTATGAGTGTAGGTTCTCAAAGTACAGAAGTATGGCAAATTAAAACCTTCATCAGCATTCACTGATGGCTGTCAGGGTCTCAGGCATTCCAGTGTCCTGAGCTTAGCATAATACAACTGACTTCATTGGACTATTAACTCAGGTTTTCCTGTTTTCTCAGTGGTTCCACTGCCAAAACACAAAAAGCTTCTAAACATGTAACTAGGTGCTCTGGCTTTCACACCTGGCTTCCATTCTAGTCTTATTATTGCCTACAGCTGTCCTTGTTTTTCTAGAATAAGAATGGCAGAGATAATTATCTACAATCTCTCCTTACACCCGCAGCCAGTTGGGTCTGCTTCCTCCTAGCACTACCTACACTATCCCCATCCGTAGTAATCCAAGTTTGCCAAGAACTACCGGTTCTCCAGTTACCACCAGTGACGGAGTCTACACTGCATATAAACACCATGTAAATCATCCCAGCTACCTCGTTTCCTATTAGGAAAAAAAAGTTCATAGAAAAATACTGGAATACTTCCCCAAACAAGCTGAAAACACTGTGAAAAAATTAGGTTATAAAAGTATGAAAGTGAAATATTAGATTTATTCAAAAAGAAATGGGGTTTCCTGGGTAAAGCAACAAGTGCAACACTGTTTCTGGTACCCCTGACCTGATCAACAGCGAGGTCACCCAGGTGTAGGCATTAACTATCAGGACATACACTGGAAAGAGGAAGTGTACTAATGGCTAAAGCATACCTGATTCCTAAGATAACAGGAATATTTAATGAAAATTTAGAATATAATGTATTTATTCTGTGGACAGAAATAAAGGGAAAGATACAGAAATCAATTTTTCCCATTACAATTTATAAAATCAGACACAAGAAATCTATAAGCAGTGATTTTTTTAAAAAATAAAAGCAGTAATTTAACTTCAAATAAATATATTACCTTTCTATTCTTTATTCCGGTGTCTATGCAAGTACTTGGTGGAACCTATTAGCCTATTGAAATCAGCAATAATCCAATCCATGATACTTCATTTGCCTGGAACAACAAATCACTTACATTTGAAATTCATTTTCTTACATTAAAGGTGTGATTCTCAGTCACTATAAAAATGCTACACCCACTCCTGGGCCTAGTGTGTTTCCACTCATGCCCAAAGCCTAGTGGTGGTATTTTAAACATCCACACATGATTCATCAGCCTACATCCCTGCTCCTTTCTCACATACACAACTGCCAGTGACGAGCTACTCTCCTAGTTCTCCTGCTCCTCGTAGTGAGCGTAGCCACTGGCATAGGTCCTTCCTAAATTCAAATTAGAAAACAGATCTGATGATTCGACATCTGAATCCTTCCCGCCTTCATCTTCCTCCTCTTCGTCATCCTCTGCTTCATCCTCTTCTTCCTCCTCCTCCTCATCGTGAAAGCCAGGAGCACCGTAGTTATCAGAGGAGAGGTTCTTCCAATAAGCATCATACCCAGAAGCTCCATCTCCTTCCTCACCTCCCGTCTGCCTGCCAAATTTCAGAGAGCGTGCTACAAAAGACAGACGTGCACGTGTGTCAGTTCTAGTGAATACACACTTAATTTTTCTTATGTAGCCATAGATATCACCTAAGCTTATGATTCTTACTTAAAGGTTGGTCTAATTTTCTGAATTTTTTTACATAATAAATGTGTACTACACCAAAATAAACAACAAAGATTACAATGTTGTTTCATTAAGTCTACAAAGTTTGAAAAACAAAATCAGTCCAGGAAATATCTCCAAAGACAATAGTCATATTAAAAATCAAAATGCCCTCAACCTGGCAGATTAAAACCTCATCTTTGAATCACATGAACCACACAAAATAGCTGATTTCTTATCATTATAATTTTCTTAACTTTTTAACAGGTGTCCAAAATAACACAAGTCTTCATTCCTTCTGCCCTAGTGGTGACTAAAATTTTAGAGCCGATTAGCAAAGTATTTTTTCTAACTATATAACTTCATTTTTGGTTGTTAAAGTATTATCAGAGCTATACAGAATTACATGTATGATGTAAGTATGTCCAGGAAAGAGGCAAAGCTCCCTTTAGCAAACGAGAGCACTACTGGAAGTATGACTATTGCAGTCTCATTTCTGCAGAGAAAGGCTGCATTAAAAGCTCATGGACCACACACGCCTACAGAGAGCTATGGGATGAACTCAACCTCCAAGAGGTGAAGACTACCACCCCGGCAACAGCTATTCAGCCCTTTAATTAGGAAGCCTCAATAACGACAGAAAAATTACTCACACCTTAAATTTCAACATTCATCATCAACAAATAAGGCAAGAACCAAATATCAAAGTAAATACTTATACTTCACTCTAACACACATATTCTTAGGCTATAAAATCCGACTTGCTTATGAGAACAAATCTTTTCAAACTGAAGGAGAGGTAATAAAAGACAGAGAGAGAGAGAGGACAAAAAAAGAACTTGGACTGAGTAAGTATCATTCCCCTAGTAACCTAACAGTAGCCTTACTTGACATGCTAAGATCCTTGGTCTCCTGAGTTTCATGTCCACATTTAGGACAAGGAGGTCGTTTCCCTTTTTCTTGTTTAAACACCTTGCTCCTTGTATGTTCATCACAGAAACAAGCCTATTAAGGAAAAGTAAAATAAATATATAAATCTCTTAAAAGACACAAAAGGATACCATACAATATTGCAAGGAAACTTCCATTTCTTTTTCTGATTTCAATTTAAGAGGAATGGATCTTGCCAGGACTCCTAATACAGAGCAGAGGTATACTATTTATGGAGAAACAGGTGAGGTACGCTGGTTCATGTGTACACATGTGAGAATTCACAGGCCACAGGTCATATGACAGTGTGCAGCCTATTTATCCTCAGAGCCAAGAGAGGGAGAGGCTGTCTGGGCTCTGGCCACTGACAGAGAAATGAAAATGAGACACCACACAGACAAGGGACTCCTAAGTCTTAGCTGAGAGCTAAAGGGGCTTGACCTGCATAGGGTAAGCAAGGACTGAAGAGTTCCAGGCAAAGAAATAGCAGAGACAACAGTTTAAAAGCTTGAGAGCATTAACACTTCCAACAAACTGAAAGCTGACAGCTGAGAGAAGTAAGAGATGGGTTAGGAATATAAGGACCACAGAAATGTTCCCAAGACAAAGTGAACAGGCTGCATCTTTGGCCTTTGATGTGTGACCAGCAGAGGCTATCTGGAGACACCTGAGGAAACATTATAGAAGCTTTACTGTATCCAAACTCTCCTAAGCAGGTATCTCCCACATTTTGGTCAGAATGTTCTCTGTAATGGATGGCCAGTGGAAAGTTGCTGTGCGTTCTCAGTTTCAATTCTACAATTTCAGCAACAAAAGTTAGCCAGACTTGGTGGTACATGCCTGTCACCCCAACACATTGCAGACAGAGGCAGGAGGCCAGCCTGAGCTACATGCTAAGACCCCGTCTCAATCCATCCATCCACCTTCTTGTAAAAAGTAATGGAATTAAATAACTTTTAGATCCTTTATAAATAAGTAAACCAAAGCCTGGTGAAAAGTATAAGGATTCAAAACAAAATCTCAACAGAAGGAAGTGTAAAATCATTCCATGCCGAATACATAAACAAGTAAATAAAACAAACATACCTTACAACGGAGACATGAATGCTGACCAAGCCGATTGCATGAAACACCTGTGGAAAACAGGTTCCTCTTAAAGTCCTGACTGCTCAGTCCTCATCTTGTTCTTTGGTCTTTCACTGAACCACTAACTGCTCTCAATGGAATCATAGCCTCATCACCTCCTACCTTTTGGACTTAAATGCTATAAAATCACAAAGCTCCCAAGCCCCCAATAATTTAATGATTATATATACTAGAACAAGCACCAGGCTGAAAGAAAGAGGTATCTGGGGTTTTGGAGTTTTCCAGTGATGGTAAATAGTAACATAATGATGGCCAAGTGCCAGGTACCACAGGCCTTTGTATGAATTTGTATTTCGATTTCTTTCTTTTGAGAAGGAAATGATCTCTAAACATGGTATCATGAGCTCAATCAGTAATACTAGTTTCAACTAGGAAATACATGACAACTGTGTACACAGGAAACATACAGATGAGGACTGGCACTCACTACAAATTCAAAGACAGAATCTCCAGGATGAAGGCAAAGTACTTGTACTTTTAAAAATACTTGTACCAGTATTTCTAAGTAGGAACAAAGCAGAGGTGTCCTCACTAACTTGCAGGTATTTAGGAACTGAAAGAGAAGGGTGAGGTTTGCTTGTGATGCTAACTTCAAGGGGAGCATGGAATGCCGTAAGCACTGCAACGCCTGGCAAAGCCCTCAGAAGGAAGAACTCAGTCCCCCAACATGCCAGGGCATCCCTTGAAAAGCTCAGGACTGTGTATTCTGTTTTTCTAGAAACAAAATAGATTTATGAGTTAAAATTTCTAAGAGTAGCATTGCTTTAAAAAATAGATTTTTAATCTTAAGTTTAACATTTATACTATTTGGAATCTTAGTGTATACTTATTTTATTTTGTTGGTCGTGGGGCCTGATCTCTGCCTGGGTGCTGTCCCTCAGCTCTTCAGCTTAAGGCTAGCACTCTACCACTTGAGCCACAGCACCACTTCTGGCTTTTTCTGCTTATGTGATACTGAGGACCTCATGCATGCATGGCAAGCACTCGACCACTGAGCCACCTTCCCAGCCCAAGAATATTTAATATTAAAAGAAACAACTTACATTTAAATGTTTCTGCCTCTAAAACTTGGCAGCTGGCCTGGTGCTCAAATTGATCATCTTCACAGAGAAAGTTACGACAAAAAGAACAGCTGAATATTCTACCTCCTATAGGATAAAAACAAAACCCACAAATAAAATATGATACAACTCCAATTTAAAAATCCTTATGTATAGAACTGTCTACAGAGAGGGCAAGTGATTTCAGAGACATGGCAAAACTACAGTCATTTCTATTCTAGTAAGAGATAGAATGAAACTGTTAAAGTACTTCACACTGAACCATGGAACATTGGGCTTCCATTCCTCCCCAGTTATTTTTCTTTTCTTTTCCAGTCTGGGGCTTGATTGATCTGTGGGGCAGGGCACTATCCCTGAGCTGTTCTTTGCTCAAGACTAGTATTACACTACTTTCAGGAACAGTACCACTTCTGGTTTTCTGGTGTTTAGTTGGAGATAAGTCTCACTTTCCTGCCTGGGCTGGCTTTGAACCATGATCCTCAGATCTCAGCTTCCTGAGCAGCTAGGATTCCAGGCATGAGCCAGATGCACTAGCTCTCCCCGGTTATTTCTACCATAGCCTCAAACTACCTTACTTCCCCAAAACTTCTCTCTTTACTTGCTTAGATGAACAATACCAGCATTCACTATGACAACTCAACTGCTCATCAAAACACTGCTGGTAAGTCAAACTAAGAGAATCCTACAAAATAGTACATAGGATTAAGAATGCTTACAGGTCAATCTTCACCACTACGCAGCTCACATTTGTGCGTGCTTACATTTAATCACTCACCGTGGTCCCACACACCTCGCTCACACTCGACGCATTCCGCATCAGTCAGCGGGCAGGCACAGGCATGAGTACTAAGACATTTCCTGCCATGGCAAACCCAGGCTTCACAGAAGTCACATATTGCACCCTGAAACCAAGGAACAACTCTGGATCACTGTCACTTGACCCACTGCAACCACTGTGCAACTAACCGCAACCATCACAATTATTTACATTAAGCACTTTATCTACAATCAATGAGAATGGTCAGTCTTATTTTAAAAAATTGTACCATTTACTCTAAGCCAAAATAAAAGGCAGTTTCGAAAACTTCCAGAATATGTAAGACTTAGCTATACTCAGGCATATTGGCTCACATTTGTAATCCCAGCTACTTAGGAGTTGGTGCAACCAGTTCAGGAAAGATCAACTCATATCTGAAAGATAAACTAAAGCTAAAAGGGCAAGGGTGTGACTCAAACAGTAAAATTCTTGTCTAACAATATAGAGTTCAAGTTCAAAATCCCCCTCCACACACAAAAAAGAAAAAAACAACCAGCTACAAATCAAAAGAAAAATAAGCAAAGGAAACTCTACACGCTTACCCTAAGGTTATTAAATGAAGCGAATGAGCTGTAAGAGTTGCCTTAGAAATCAATCCTAATTCAAGTGAGATCTGGAGCCCGCAGTTTACATTCATCTACAGCAGTTCCTGAAACTGAACTAAAATTTTAAATACTGATAAAAATCCTTCTAATTTTTAAAAATCCTTCTACATGTTTTATATGTCTAAATATTTGTATAGTTTATAAAATAATGTCTTTCTAGAATACCAAAGAAAATACTTAAATTCTACTGTTCTTTCTTTTTTTCTCTTAAAGCACTTTTTTCCTATATCATTGAAATATTACTTTGTGCAAAAAAAAAAAAAAAGCAATATATATGGAACTAGCGTGAGATTCTTCAGTCCTAGTTCAAGGTAAGACAATATAAATGCATCTTTCAATAACACAATGGCATTTAAATATTGAGACAGGGCAAATCTAAAGGGAATAGATGGTCATTCCTTTATAAATAAGAAACAACAAGTAACATCTAAGGTGTTTGGTTAAGACACATTAGAAAGGTACCACTGAGAAATGAATGGCTGACACTGAAGCAAGATACAATGCACTGCTGTTTAGACAAACCTAACCACTGGTGAAATGCCTTTCTTTTCCTGGAAAGTTACTAGTCTAAGAAACATAGACAAGCAGCTTACCACCATGGCAAGGCCAGTGCTGTATATACCAGCATGCTTTATGACGCAGTCAGAGGACTTCATCATGCATTTTGTTTTGCCTAGACAAAGAAATTTGCATTATTAGTGTGAGAAGTAGTACATGAAAGTATTTAATAACTCCTCTTTTGATCCTGCCCAATTCCTGGGGAACTTTTTTGAAATGGAATGAAATCAATACCTTGTACTGCTTATACAGCTAAAAATAACATCCACAAAAAGTGGATGCAACAGATCTCAGTGATCTGAGTCAGATCTTCTGAGATTAGAAACATACTAATATCTAAAAAAAAAGCAGGATATACGAAGTAGATGTATATGCAAATTCATATTCATACTAAAATCAAAAATTGTATTTTACGCTCAGAAATCCAAAGATCACTTCAACTGTTTAAAAACTCAAAAATTTTCAGTAAATCAGTACATGGAAAATGTATCCACATAGAGCACTACAAACCCAAGCCCAGAGACACAAGACTTCATTGATCTTCCACAACGCCTGTCTTCTCACTCTACATTCACCTGTCCTTTATAAAATGAGGAATACAAACCAGCAGTGGAGAGTCCATCTCAGCTACTTTTCTTTTCAGTAACTACAGAACTAAAAATATATCTTCTTCAAAAGCTAATACTGCAATAAAAAATTTAATCACATCTAATCATGTATAAAAAAATTACTTTTTACCAGGTACCAGCAGTTCTCACACCTATAGTAATCCCAGCTACTCAAGAGCCTGAGATCTGCGGATTGCACTTCAAAACCAATCTGAGCAGGAAAGTCCATGGCCTTTAGTTCAAACTTCAGGACAGAATCCCCCCCCACAACCCCCCCCACCAAAAAAAAGCCACTTTCCAAAATGTTCCATCTGCAATACCATCTCAAAAAGGGGCTATTTGTCCAAACAAAAGTTTGAGAGGTAAATCTGAAGTCAATGAACTCAGGTTTTATTAGAGCAAGTCTTCAGAACTTTCAGCATAAATACAAATGTAGTGATCTCCCAGGTAGGAGCAAGAGGCTTTAAAGTCTCTAGCATTACTTAATTGTATATACCTCCCCCCCCCCAGAAAAAAGAAAAAAGAAAAATCCTCAAAACGATTAACATGTTAGGTGGATTGTGAATACTACTTGTAAAGTGCCTATCAAATAAAACTTCCACCTATACCTGGAAACTAGCTGCAAGCTTAAGAACTCAGTTCAGGCACTTGGAAATACACTTGAGGAAATTCAAGCATCATATGATACACACAAAAAACACACAATAAGGTATAATAAAGTTATTCTCAGTGGTCAGTCTAATGGACTGTGAGTAGTACAGCAGGAGTCAAAATTTAGAAAAGTAAAACCTGCCAAGACTAAAGTGGCACAACTGAAAATTCAAGATTACCACATGTGTAGTTTGAAATGTGGTATTTTTAATGTTCAAAATCTGTTGTAACCCATACATTCCTAAAATTGGTTTCTAACATATATTTTTAAATAGTTATTTTCCAGCAATGTATCAGAGTCAAAACTAAGACTTGATGCTTTTAGAAGGCCAAGTAACATTTTACAGGTTATTTTATTAATGATAAACATAACGGTAACAGACTCATAGGTTCAAACTCATTAGCTGTCAAATATCTGATACAAAGACACGCCTTCTTAGTTGTATACTTACCACACTGTGCACAAATTGGTAGTTTCTGGACAGAATTACAAAAGTAGCAAAATGCTCTGTTCTTCTGTCGCCTTGTGATGTGAAATAAAAGTTTAAATATGGTAAATTTCAGATAAAGGATAAGGGAGACTTTCATTACATGTAGATAGAAAAGTAAATTTTACCTCTGACACTTGTCACATTCCTGTAAAATATAAAAGCATACAATAGTTATTTTCTGCTCTTGAAAATTGTAAATTTACCTACTTTATAAAGACTATGTTGCTTACCATGTTGTAATTTAAGTGGCAGGACCCGGGGCCCTCCAACTCCACCCACATGTACAAGCATCTTTGCAACCCTCAATAGCACAGGTACACAACAGTTTTTCTTTTGAGTAGCCAAAACAGAGGAAGAAATGGCATCATTTCTGTTTGCTTTTGTTTTTGCCAGTACTGGGGCTGAACACAAAGCACCTTGCACTCTCATTCCACTTTTTCATTCACAACTAGTATCCTATATTCTATCACCTGGTAAGAGTTTAAGGATTTGTCTGGATTTGTCTGCCTGGGCTGGTTCCAAACCTCAATTCAGATGTCACCATAACTAGGATTATAGGTTTGAGTCACTCTGCCTGGCTTTTCATTGGTTTGTGGTTGTTGTTTAAATTTTATTTTATTGTAAAGATACTGTAGAGAGGGGTTACAGTTACATGAGGAAGGTAGTGAGTACATTTCTTGTTGAGCACTGTTACCCCCTTCCTGTTGTTTTTAAGAAACCAACATGACGGAACAAGATACAAGCAACACAAGAACACACAATTCCATCTACTCCATAATTTTAACACTTAAGCATGGCTTTAACAGTTCTCCATATTCACATCCCTGACCACTTTTCAAATCTTACTGGCCTATTCTCTGTTTAGACTCAATTCACCCTTGGTCAAATATGTCTCAGCCTCTCTCTTCTCCATACCCTTATTTATCCTAATATTTTTCCTTGAGCTCTGCTTGTTGGACATTATGCTAATGATCCTACCTCCTCTATAAATGAACACACATTCAACTTTACTACTTACTCCTTCACTCAAATTCTCATCAAAATCTACTCTTATTACACAGGTTTACATATGCCAGTTGCTGTCTGTCAAGCACCTTCTCTGGAATGGGACTCAGAAAGGAGTACCCCCTTTCCCTTCCGTGCCATGTAATCCTGTTTCCTTACCCTCATAAACATTAGTACTGGGATGGAAACTGACAATCTACCGAGTTTTTTCCTCTTTACCTTACTAATATATAATGTGAATCATATAAGCTACCAGTAACTACGATGCCAAAGAAAGTAAACTGGGGAAAAAAAAAACACAATAAGCCAAAAGAAACAAAAGCAAAAACTGGAGCCCCAAGTTGTCCCAGGTTCCAACTGTCTCTTGAGTATGAGCTATATCCTTCCCTTTTGTAGCTACTCCATTAACCATTGAAACAAACTTGTTTCTTCCTAAGGTTATTTAAGTTGGGTTTCTGTCATTTATTACTAGGCATTTCCTTCCGTTCTGTTACGTAACAGACCAGAACTAAATAAGCTTACAAAAAGATGGAACACGTCATGCATCTACGAACCCCAACAACAGAATTGAGCTACATATGCTTATGGAAAGATGGGCCACTTCTTCCATCCATGTGTCTCTAACAGTAGCTAAGATAGTACCTGGCAGACAGATAGCAGATGTACAAGAAATGTTTGCTAACTCAAGGCACATAAAACATCTCATGTCTCATGGAAAATGAAAAAGGGAAGGGGTAATGGAACCAGAAAAATAGGCAAGTGTGGAAGCCAGGAGAAAGCAATAAGACAAACATAGCTAACAGAGAAAATCATCTTTTGCTTTTTTACAACTTCCACTGCTCAAACAACTCAACAATTATCAAGACTAATCTATTCAGCACAGACCACTACAATAATAGAACAGGAAGCCAAAAGAGAAGTCAAAAAGTTGAGGAGTTTAGAAAAAAACAAATTAAATTAACACTGAAAACAATGTGGTTTGAGATTCAGCAATGAAATAAATGCAGGGGTGTATATTCACTTCAATTTTTATCAGATAAAATGCTTTTAACTGCTAGCTGGTATGTTTGTAAAAAAAAAAAAATAGAGAAAAGCTCTTACCATGGAAGCATTGCATGGGTGTTTGGCCAAATCCACAGTGCTTCTGGAGGCTCTTAGCTGTTTTTCTCGTTCTCGACGGTTTTCAGCCTTTTTCCTCGCTCCAGTCTTTTTCTTAGGCATTTCTAAACAAGAGAATAGAAAACATTTACTATTCCAACAAACTAAGAAATAATATAACAAAAGCATTCCTCAAAATGTTCATGTTCTCCTAAAATTTTTAACTTGCCATTGACAGTTTACAAGCTCTTTTTCTCCCACTTTGGCTGCTATACTGCGACTTAAACTCAAGATCTGGATGCCGTCCCTTAGCTTTCTTTTTTCTTTGCTCAGATCTGGTACTCTACCACTTGACCCATAGCTCCATTTCCAGTCTTTCAGTGGTTAAGTGAAAATAAGGGTTTCATGGCTGGCTTCCACTCAATCTTCAGATGTCAGCCTCCAGAGTAACTAGGAATTCAGGCATGAACCACTAGCACCTGGCTACAAGCATTTCTTAATGAAACATCAGACACACTATTCCAAATAAAGCAAAGGTGTTTAAAATAAGGCATTTATTTGCACTACCAAAAGCCAAAGTAGTTTTGTTTCTCCACTAAAACAAAACGTTTCTCTGGTTAAGTATTCTGAACTTGCAAAAAAGCAGTGGACATATATCACTAATACTAAATCATTAAAATGTTCATTTATTACCCAATTTAAATCTTCTTGTCTGCCTCTTTTGAAACAGGTTTCACTGCAGTCTTAGTAAGCCTGGGCCTGAACCTTCCTATTCTCAGTCTCAGGCAGCCACATCTGGCCAAAATACCTTTTTGGGTTTTTTTTTTTAAAACTCTATATTCAGGTAACCTAATGCTTTTAAGATATAATAAGTCTATTTTTTTCTATGGATTATCTAGATAAATCCAATAATCAAGTCAACTGCCACCAATGACTACAAAGTCCAACTATTCTCTGAAGAGATGTAAAGAACTTCAACGCTTGGAGCACTGCTCTTCTCCCTACATACGTTATCATTTTAACAAAGCTCCCATTTAAGCCGGAGAATACACGCTTCCCGTGGGTAATCGAAGTACTTATGAAGCTGGGGTGAAGAACTACATTGAGGGAAAAGTTCGAAACCGAAGTTTTCTGAACTGAATGGACGATTGGAAACCAAGCAGCAAGCCGGATGGCATCGACTCCGAAATATGGAGGGCCCAGTCAACACCAGAGTCCATCTGGACCAAGGCAGCACTCCAGCCCGGCCGGCCGGGGTGCGCAGTCCCGTGGGGGGGGGGGGGGGGGGGCGGTGTGAGGACTCGGGCGGGCGGTCTGCGTCCCTCCCGGCGTCTTCCGGCCCTACTGAGCCAGCTGAGCCTGAACACCCGGGCCCCTCAGTCGGCTTCGCCACCTGTGCGATCCCTGTTCCCCGATCCCGCTCCGGGCACAGTCCAACCTCAGGACGGGGTCCTCGTAGCCAAGGGAGACCGCGGGCTGGGGCCACCACGCGGGGAGGGCCGGGGTGAGGTGGGGAGGGGAGGGGGCCCGGGGCGGAGAGGGAGGCCCGGGGCAGG